CTATGTGGGAGGACAAGAGGATTTAAATAATATAAATGGGTCCTCTAAAATTTGATGTTAGGGCTACAAAATATATGTGAAAAACTTTTCTTCATTCTCAACTGGATAAATGGTCAGAAAAAACATTTTTAAAAACTGAAGAAAGTATAAAGAAATACGCATTAAATCCTTCTGGGTTCTCTCTTCCTTTGCCCCAAGGACCAAGTATCATACAAATCACAACCCTGGAGCCTCTCAAAATTAGCAGAAATGAAAGGATGTAATTAGTTCAGCGAGGGCTTTCTTAAAAGCCACAATTCATTTGAAAAGGAGTGAGACTGTTACGTGGTAACTATGATATTTTTAATTTTTTATTGAAGTCAATCTTATGAAGCCTATGGAAGTTTACTACTGGTCAGAAAAAAGGAGACTAAAAATTTATGTAACAAGGAAATGTTTTATAAAGCACAGTTTTAACAAATTTATTCTCAACTGTAATGGAAATTGCATCTCTGGGGCATTTTTAATTTCTGAAATACTCAAGAAAAAACTTAAAATCTGGATAATTACCTAAAAGACTAATTATAAATTATTCTTTGTATAAATCAAGTCTCAATGAGATGCCCTGTGAGAATCATTTGTGAGCACATAAAGGTACTTTCTTGAATTGTAAATAGCTTCAAAGTACCAGAACACACCAGAAGTTAGAAAATTGTGGGTTTCAAATCCATTTGTGAATTTGAACACAATCTCAAAAATACTGAACAAATCTTTTCCTAATTAGAAATATTTTCCTAATTAGAAATATTTGAGGAATATATCTCAGCTTTAAGAAAAAGCAAAAAGTCTGTAAAAAAGAAGTAGTTAAACCTTTTCAAAACTACATACATATACATAAATTTAGTTTCTTTTCTGTTAGTGGACAAGGATAGCAGACATGTAGACGAGTGATTGGAATGTAGTATGATTAGAAAGTTCTACCGAGCAGGAGACAAATGATGAGGAAGGCTGCCTAATAGTGGTATGCCTGAGCTACATTTAAGAGGGTAGGGATGCATCATGCCTATCATTAACATGGTCCTCAATGATTCTTTTTATTTTTACGTTTGTTTTGTTTTGTTTTGTTTTGTTTTGTTTTGTTTTGTTTGAGACAGGGTCTCACTGTGTAGTTCAGGCTGGACTTGAGTTCACTATGTAGCCCAGGCTAGCCTCGAACTCATGGTGATACTTCTGCCTTAGCCTCAGAATTGCTAGGATTATAGGCATGCACCACAATGCCGGGCTCTGATCCCCGATGATTCTCGCCTCCTGATATTCACATTTTTATGCAGTCTTCTTCCACATGACACAGGATCTTACAGAAAAGATGGTGTGACTGCTGAAGTAAAGTATTAAAGGATGCTGAGACTCTGCTTACTGTCGCTTGGTCACTCATTAGCTGCCATGTAGTAAAGATGGACAAGTGGCTCTACAGGGAAGTCTATGAAGAGAAACTAGCTTCCTGCCAACTAATTTGCCAGATCTGATGATCAATCACCCTAAAAGTAAATCTTCAAGCCCTCATGATGGCAACCTCAGCCAGCAACTTCACTGCAACTTTCTGAGACCTGGAGCCAAAACTACCGAGCTAAGCCACTCCCTGCTCTTTACTGCAGAAAATTACACAACAAATTGTTACTGTTGTTTCAACTTGCCAAGTCTGGAGACAACTTTTTGCACAGCAACATATAACTAATAGAGTAAAAAATATCAAAGCACAGCATATACAAAATTAGCAGCGAAAGACAATACATCTAGCAAGTTTAGGAAAATAGCACAAGATAATTCAAGTATAAAATGATGACATTTGATAAGAAAGCAGAGACCAGGACCAGAGACTGTCTTTTGCCTAGCTAAGGAATTTGGACTTTCCTCTATGGCCAAGCAATGAGTAGGAGAATTAAAACACGTTCTTGAGCAGAGAAATAACATGATTCAATTGAAATTTTAAAACAAATACTGATGAGCATTTCTCTGAGATTAACTGGCAGGAAGAAGTGTACTAGGATCAGAAGCTCTCTTAACAGGAAGACCAGGTTAAATGTTCCTGAAATAACAGAAGAGGAAAAATGAAAAGAGTTATGAGGTAAAATTCTTAGGGGCCTATTATTTTAGACACAACCAAAGACCATGGGAGTCCTAATCTATTGACTTCATCACAAGTGTATATGCAGAGCTAACTGCTTCTTGCAACCAGCTAAACAGAAACCTATTCACTCAGGATCATCACCACAATTAAGTTACTTCCTTACTCTACACTAAAGACAGAAGCATCAATGCTAATGCAGGTTGCTACAGACAAATATCCTCATTTAGTGAGTGTTAGCAACAGTGACTATTTGGTCTACACATATACTCTGCCGTAAGAATGAAGAAGTACATCTATTAAAAGGCCAAAGGCAACTGCTGAGTTTACAACCAAGAACAAATGACTAAATGCCACTACTTCTTCACCCACCACACCATTTATCCAAAAGTCTTTTTTCAGAGCCTTGATTATTCTTTTCTGAAGATCATCTCCCACTTAGCTATTTGAAACACTGAGTCCCATAAGGTACCATAAGCCACTAATGATTCTCAATGATGCTGCCTTGGTGCCAGCAAAAATTCTAGTACATAAGACAGTGTATTTTTCTCTCACCACAATACATTTATTCACTCATAAAAATTAAGATCCTGATAGAATGATTCCTTTTACATAATTTTAAAACCAAGTAATCCCAAACTACTAAACTATACTGTTTAAAGATGTATTCATCATTTTAAAAAGAAAATGTAACATCCATAACAAGCAGACTACTGGCTACTTCTGGGGCAAAAAAGGAAAGTTCTTGACTCAGACACAATGCATGAAATACAAGAATTTCTAAAATACCATAATGTTCTGTTTCTTAATCCAGGTGCTGGCTTAAGCATTATAAATCGGACTGTATACTTGTATTATGTACTTTTCTATATGCTATACTTCTCAAAAAAAAAAATTATTTATGAAAAAGACTCCTGAATCCACAAAAAAGTTTTAAGTCAAAAGTTTTAAGTGAAGTTAAAAAAATATGTAATCTAACGTGCAAAAAAATATTAAAGAGAATATATGAACTAGTAAATATGTATGTCTTAAAATAAAAGTCTATCTCATCAATACTTTCCTACTAACCAAAATAAACACCTGTGCCCTGAATCGGCAAAAACTTAATTAAACAATTACATCTACTGCTAATGAACATGGTAAAACTGGTCCTCATATTTTGATGTTGTCACTGTAAAGCAATTTGGTTTTTTGATCCAGAGATTTTGTCAATCTCTTAAACTGAAACAGGAGAAAAGTTAAAAGCACAAAGTTTTTTCCTTCAGTTATTTTTAAATGGGCAGAAAAAAATTGGAATCAACATAATCAATACCAACACTTTACACAAAATTATGTAGAACTACTTGAAACTGTAAGACAGCTTTTAAATTAATCATTATGGTCATTGTGGCTATATTTCTTTAAAAAATCTTTATTAGAAATACATAGTTGTCCATCAGTATCCAGAAGAGATGGGTTCCAGGACCCTTTTAGATACCAAAATCTGCTGATGTGGGGCTGGGGATTTAGCTCAGTGGCACAGCACCTGCCTGGCAAGCACAAGGTCGTGAGTTCAATTCCTGGTACCGGAAAAAAAAAAAATCTGCTGACACTCAAGGCTTTTATATAAAATGTATAACTTATGTACATCTTCCCATATACTTTAAATCATCACAGGTAGGTTAGGTTATATGCAAATATTATGCCATTTATATAAGGAACTTGAGCATATGCAAATTTTGGTCTAAGAGGGGCATCCTGGAACCACCTCCTGCAAAGACCAAGAATAACTATATTTGCATCTTTTTAAGCAAAAAAAAAAAAAAAAACCAGTACATAGGGACAGAGGAAAAAAATTCAAAATCCTATGTGTTCCAGAGGATTTTTTTTTTTATTTTTAAAGCTTTTATTACTTCTGTGGTTTTTAGAAGTTATATATAATCTTATAATTGAGAAAAAATATTTAGCTATTTTACTTTTTTTTCTGAAACTAATTTAATCAAATAGTTTATAAATTCCAATTAACCAAAGACAGTTATACTACTAATTTTCTCTTAGTTCATTGAAAAGAAAGGTTTGTGCTAACATTGTTTGGACAATTAAATGCCAGTATCTTGTACTCTGAGTAACTAATTTAAAGATAACAATATGCAATGTATTAACCATCGTCACCTTCCTATTATTTTGTTTTGAAATTGTTTTTTTCTCTTTAAAATAAAATTTTAAAAAAAATTCCAGTTAACAAAGATTCCTGAATCTTTCTTCTAAGATACAGTGAATTTTCTTTTCAGCATTTATTTAAGATTATTCCCTGGATTCTTAAGCTACAGTATTATAGCTGTTCTATTTCGAAACCTAGCTTTACTCTGCCGCACATTTACATATTTAATGTTAAAACCAACACTTATATAGTTTATATCTGATTGAAAACACCACTGTCTTCTCTTTCAGAGACAGTTAAAAATGAATCAGACATTGCTTGTGAATAAGTGTGTGTGTGCATATATATATATATATATATAAAATTTGGGGGGGCAGTACTGGGGATTTAACCAAGGGCCCCTGCACTGAGGTACATCCCTAGACTTTTTTTTTTTGAACTAGGAATCAAACTCAGGACATCACGCTTGCCAGGCAGGTGCTGTACCACTGAGCTATATCCCCAGCCCCTATCCCTACACTTTTTGCCCAGGCTTAGGTTGAACTTGTGATACTCCTACCTCCCAGAGTGCTGCAATTACAGCTGTGCATCTGGCTATATCACTCACTCTTAAACTATTGATTAGCTCACATCATAATAAAGTATTGTACTTGTCTGAAAAGTTGCTACCCTGCAATTATATTAAAAACTGCATGTCTGTTCCAATTACCATAATGAAAACCTAAATACAGGGAATCAATTTTGAAATCCACTTACCAGGATGATTGGAAATGGGAGGCTGGAATGCAAGCTCATTGTGAACTGGCCCTAAAGAAAAGACAATAAAAATCACATTTTTATTTATTAAAAGTTTTCCAAAGTTAAACTTTTAATAAACCTTACTTAAATATAACTACCATACCTACAACTTATTTGTATCAAGCTTATGCAGGTCTAAGAACTTAAAAGCTTAGATCACAAAGTACACAAATACTCTTGAATTACTTTTGTGGATACCTAATAACTAACATTTTAGTACTACCTACCAAGTGCTATTAAGCAAATTTACAAATAATTTCACATACAATATTTAATGCAGATTATAAATGACTTATGATGTAACATGTAATATATTATTTATAATGCAATATATAGAAGTACTTTAAATTATTACAACTATTCTAAAAACAAGTACTTATGTTTATTAAATTAAGGATATTTATATAATGGAACAGTAGCTAAAATAATTAAAAGCTTTTTATGTGTTAAAAAATTACAAATGAATTATTACATTCAAACTTACTACAAGACTATACATATACAGGTAGCATGCCCCCGCCATTCATATATACCCACTTATACAGCTAGAAGAAAAATAAGAAAAATTTAAAAATGAGTATCTTTGGATATTAGGATTTCAGGTAATATTATTTACACTTTTTGGTATTTCCCAAGTTTTCTCTGGTACTATTAATCTTCAAATGAAAAGAAAAGGTATTTTATATATATGGAAGATTTATGCTCCTGATTTTACAAGCCAAATGAATAATGTTCCTATTCTTCCTGAAACCACAAACTATGTGTAGGGTAGCCCTTCCAATCATGCCTGTACAGTATTGTTAGATTCAAAATCTAAGTATCTATGGCACTAAACATTATGGTGAGGGAAATCTTGAGATCACAGCAGTCAATGGGTTTCAATCCACTATGGGTGAGTATACAAGTTACACATGAGATCTAAGAACATACACAAAAACAAACAAATGAATGGAAATCAATGTGGTGTTTATGAAACATCAGCAAGAGAGAAGTAAATGTATTTAGTAAACATCACTATAAAATAAAGATATAACTACAAATAAATGTTTACCAAAAAATACTGAAAAAAAAATGAAAAGCATAAATTAATGAAACTGAACTGTAGGATGAACAAAAGTAGAAAAAAAAAAAGTCCTATAAAAGAAAAAGACCTTACAACAAAAACAAGAGCTTACAGTAATGTCCGGGATGGGGCGGCATAGGCGGGTGGTGCTGAAGATGGCCGTTTTGGTGGTGAGGCAAATTAGGTGTATATGGTGCAGTCCTACTTCCAGTCCAGGTGGTAGTGCTGTCTAAAAATTAAGGCCCACATGGATTAATTTGCTTTTATAAAGGCTGCCTATTTTTCTCAACTACGTAAAAGATTTTAAAAATCATGTACATACTATGATGATAAGTAGCTGGCTGACCAGTAAATCCATTCTGCTGCTGTCCTGGCTGAGGCCCTGAAGCTATCTGCAACAGTCCTTCACTATGGCTGCCTGCCAGAATACTGGCAGGCTGACCTAGAGAAACAAGAAGACATTAACATGATGCATTATAGATGTAATCCTATCACTTCTTACAATATGTGAAGGACCAATTACATCTGATAATTCACAACTACTGTACATAGATGAGCCAAAAGTGGAACTCACCTATTGCCTATGAAAAAGTAATGTCATATTATAAGCCAACCCTTAACCTAAAATAAAGTCTGTCTAATTTTGGTGGCCTTTTATATCACAAATATTTTCTTCAAATGCCAGCAAAACTCCGCTACACATCTAGCCAATCAATAACAAACTCAGAAGCACATAAGTTCACTTTATGCGGCTTTCTAGACTTTTCTGACTAGGTCCCCCTAGAAACTCAGGCTCAAGAAAAAGCTGAAAACTGAAAAGTTAATTATTATCAGCACTGGTACTGTTAATAGCAAAATGCCAGGGTTTGATAAAAGCAAAGCAGATAAATACACTGAACAGCATGTAATGGGGTTAAGCAAGGAAGTTAAAGATCTAGCTCCACTGTGCAATCAACATGCTATTAATCTATTCTGAAATTTTTTCATGTACATAAAAAAACCCAGAATGATGTCTTTTCAAAAATATCATATTCCCAGATTTATATACAATTAGCAGCCATCTCTTTATGTAATAATAGATCAAGAAGACAAAGATTCCTCTGGCTTTTACCCTAGTCAAAAAACCATTCTATAATATCTCTTACTGTCTGGCATTTTTCAAGCTATTTTTAACTAGAAAAGGATTTTTTTCTTAAAGCATTAAGTCAACTGTTTATCCCATTTAGAAAGCACTAAAATATAATTGTTATTTCTAACTGGCATCATCTCATTTTTGCTTATCTAAATAGGAGTGTAATCAGATGGAAGAGTAAATGTCAGCATTACTCTAAGTATCAGAGATAAAAGAACATTTTTCTCCTCTCTATATCTCATATTTCTTTAAAGCTAAAAATTGTAAAAAGCTAGAGACTATTTCAGCATCCCCCAAATTAATTATTTTGAACATGATGTTCTTAGCAACTTCCCTTCCTACTCATCCAAAAAAAATTCTACAAATTATCTTTAAAGGTCAACTACATTTTTGCTCATTTTTAACACCTGTACATTCTACATATACTTAACTTACAAACACTATCACTACCCAGTAGAAATTAAATGATTTTCATTCACAGATACAGTATTTACAAAGGACCACTAAAGACATTCAGGTACCAAAATAAGAATAACTTATAAAGTGACCCTTTGCAATTAACTGTACTGAATACTTCCACTACATAATTCCAAGATAAAGTTAGTCCTATAAAATCATCTCATGTAAAATAATAGTCCAACTTCTCTATTTTAGTCTAATTTCTTTTCTTTTAATCATATATACATATTTATTTTTTTGAAAACTAAACGAACACCATTCCACTAATTCTAAAACATACAGTATTTGCTATTCAATTACAGAAATGTAACCTGAAGACAAGACAAAACTAAACACATTTCATTCAGACTACTTCTTTGGGTCTTCAAATAGTTTTTAGCCCACGCATGAAAACAAAACAGTCAAAATGAAGTCTCTTTAGTAAGCATTAACAAAAACACAAAAATTCAAGCTCCAGATAACAAACAGAGGTAAATGGCTGCATTCTAGTACTAATCTATGCCCAAGTGGCTGTCATATCTTTCTTATGCTCCATCAATACTCATTCTGTTGGTCAACTATATTCTCAAAATACAGACAGAATATAAAAACCGAAGTAACAAAAGCACCAAGTGATCAAGGTTTCTAAAATAAACCCTTTGAGCCAATTAAAAATATGCTATGCACAGACTGTCACTTCTCATGTAGCAAGTCAAAAAGATACTAGAAAATGCAGTTGTAATATGCTTGACTTGAAAACTTAAAAAAATCCATCTCTCATTTATTCCAAAAATCAAAATGTCAATGTTGAAACTGATCTGACATTAAAGTAAACAGAATAATGGTTCTTTTGGTAGCAACTAACGAAGACACAGTCCAGATCACCACTCTACTACTGATGTAGGCTTAAATACAATCTTTTTATCAACCAGGTACAAATAATGCCATATACATACCGAAACAATGCTATATGATTCATTTAAATAAACCAGAAATTACTCCATTTGCCAAGCACCAAACTGTTCAACCTCCGGTGACTGAAAATAGATAGCAATAGATAGAAATAGGTCATACTTCTTAAGCCCCAAGAAAACCTGAACCTGGGCCAGGAATATAATTGAGTGGTAGAGAACTTACCTAGCAACCTAGCCATGTAAAAACCCTGGGTTCAATCCCAGCACCAAAAGACACCCTGAATCTAAGAGTCCTCTGTTAACCCTTCTACCATGGGAAAAACCCTTTTGAAACAGACTTCTCATTTAAAAAAGAAAAAGGTTAAAAAAATGAAAGAAAATGTAAATTTTTGTTTTAAATTAAAATAGTATTTAATTTGAGGGTGTTCATGTAATACACAAGTTTGTCAAGATCCTTTATTTCTAAGTTTGCACAATGGGAAACTGAGATGACTATTATAAAGTAATATTCTCTCAGATAAATCAAAATAAGAATACTAGAGTAAAATAAAGACTGCAGTGCCATTAATGCCAATCCTTATAAACCCAGTTTAAAACTATTTGTTCATTATTTAACTATTTCTCTAAACTCTATCTAGAAAACTTAAGAAGGTTCTTTCTTCTCCATGTACTAGTAAATGAAGTACAAATTAGACCATTAAATCAGTATTATAACCAAAGCCATTAAAGTCCAAGTGATTATACATCAATATAAGAACCTTTAAATAAATTACAAACACTATTTTCTCCAGGACCAACTCTAACACCTATTTCATGCTTTTTTGTAACCTCTAGAGCAGTGATAGTGAATCTATCGCATGTGTGCTGTAAGCGGGGTGTTGAAAGCTCTAAAGGCTTGCCATCACTGTCCTAGAGGCTGGGGCATGTTGCTCAGTGATAAAGCACTTGCCTGGCAAGCACCAGGCCCTCAAACACACACACACACCACACATACACACACATACAGGGAGTTCGAGAAGGAGGGGAGAGGAAGGGAGGGGAAGAGAGGGGAAACAAATTTATTTACCTATGAAAGATATCATAGTACTTTTATTGTTTACTTACTTGGAGTTTTCCACCAAGTGACTACCCATAAATATTCACTGACTAGGAAAAGTCAAATTGTTGACACTATCTGAATGCATAACTCACTTGTAGAAGCCACCGGAATGTTGGGAAAGTTGGTGGTGCTGGTAGCATTAGACTCAGATGGGGCCAACAGAGCTGGGGTGCTGTATGTCTCTGTCGATGCACGATTACTTGGTGGGTGTTGGATGGTTTGAATCGAATGTCCTTCAGTTGATAACGATGGCTGTCCCTCAAAGTCATGAACATATTCATCCTTCACCAACATACTTGGTGGAGCTATGCAGAAAATTAAATATATTTAAAACTTTCTAAGTTTCTAGTCCCCCAAAAAAACTTATATGCAAGTAATATGATGTCTAAAAATCAACTATACTTGAAAGCATATTATTTTATCAGCAAAAAGTACTTAGAGTTAGTAGCATCAGATATATTTTATCAACTTGACTGAATGAAATTTGAAGCTGGAGTATATTCCATAGCTTCCAGAAACAGTCCTAAAGAGGTATTTATCAGTATCTTCATAAATCTAGAAATATCTACATAAGATGAAGTAGGAAAAACTAAATGTCTGACAAAACTCTGGCTGAGAAGACCAAATACTCAGACAAAAGTGAAACTGAATACATAGCTTTTTTGGTATTTTACACTGTGGAGATTTAAGTAGAATCTAACAGCGATCCATTTCTAGGATCTAGAATTATTGTTACCTAATATATTCTTTGAAACTTAACTATAGTAAATGTCCCCTACAGATTTACAACCAAACAAAAATCCTAGAAACATCAAACTGAAATTTTCTTCTACAAATCTAATCCACATAAGGATGTCTGAGATTATATATATATATTTGGGGGGCGTATTTTTGAGACAAGGTCTCGCTATGCAGTTCAGGTTGGCCTTGAGCTCACTTTGTAGCCCAGGCTGGCCTCGAACTCGCAACAATCCTGCCTCAGCCTCCCAAGTGCTGGGATTACAGGTGTGCACCACCACGCCCAGCCCAATAAATGTGAGTTTTTTGGTTTTTGGTTTTTTTTTTTTTTGGTCTTTTTTGAGACAGGGTCTCGCTATGCAGTTCAGGCTGACCTTGAGCTCACTTTGTAGCCCAGGCTGGCCTCGAACTCCAACGATCCTCCTGCCTCAGCCTCCTGAATGCTGGGATTACAGACATAAGCCACCACGCCCTGCTTCTAAATGAGATTTAAAAACTCAATAATCAGTATTTTTCACATATATGCTTATGGTTTAGTAAGCAAAGCTAAACTCATAACAAAGCACAGTATCACTGCATTAACATGTTAAAGAATAGTTTGCTTCAATGTAAAAAAAAAAACTGAAACTGAACTCCATTCATGTTAATTTTCTGCCAAGGACTTCCCCACTTGTTTGAGGACTACTCTTTTAGGGTTTGCTTTTTACCTTTAACAAAACAATCCTTTACTCTTTCTGAACACTACTCCAGAATTTTACAACCTACAGGATTCCAGTATTAGGGTCCACAAACACATGCACTCCCCTTTCCATTAAGAACCAGCATATTAACTAGGCAACACTGCACGTCTGTAATACCAGCATTCTGAGAGGACGAAGCAGGAAGATCACAAGTTCAAGCCCAGGATCAGCAGTTTAGTGAAAATCTCTCTCAAAAAAATTTAAAAAGGCTTGGATATATAGATAAGTGCAAATGCACTGAGTTCAATCCCCAGTATTACCTATTATTTACCAAAAATTAAATAAATAAACAACCACTTCCCTTGTTTTGCCCCAGGTACATCTTTGGAGAAAAAAAAAAATCTATCACATATAAGTGTCAATTAGTTACACGGTTATTTTTTACAAAATTGAGACAACTCCAAAGCAAAAAGAATAATCTGTTATTCAAGTTTCTATGCACCCTCTTAAAATTTTTCTCATGCATCAAATTCCACTCCAAAGTTTTCATTTAGAAAATTCTATAGAAACAAAAAGATCATCAAAAGGATGCTTAACACATCATTATATATTGGCCAAAAAGTGGTCCTAATCATTTATCATTACTACTGGCTAAATTACAATAAAAAGAAATGGTTGCTTCAAGCATAAAGTGATTATGTCTACATTTAATCAGTTTTTTTATTATACCCTTCAACAAAGTTCTAAAATTTTTTTCATTATAAATCTCACATCTCTACTTAATTCCAGGACATTTTAGGATTTTCAATGTTATAGTGACGAGATCTTTCTACCAATATATTGGTATTGCTAATATATAAGGATAAACGTTTGAGACTGTAACTGGCCAACTTGATACTTACTGCTTCTGCCTTTGCATGACTCTGAAAGGGCTTAAGAGGCAATCATTACTTCTGTAAGTACCAACTATTTCCTACTTTAAACAGCCTCAGAAATTTTTATTGCTTTAATATGTTAGCTAATTTCCCCAAATGGAAGCTTGGAACCTCTACCAGCATATGTATTTTTTTAATAAAATAGTCTAAAATATGTTTATTGGATAAAACTGAAGGTATCAACAAGGACAGATGTCTGTAACATATTCTGCCAAGAGAAAAAAGTTACAAACTACTACTATACACTGGTCATACGCAAGCTTTTAAAAAAATCATGTATTGTAAAATCTTAAGGTCCAGAACAGTGTGCACAGTACGCTTTTTGTGTAAGAAAGGAGGGAAATAATACATGTATCTTTTGCATAAAGAAACCCTAGAAGGAAACACCAGAAACTAATAAAAGTGATTACCTGAGGTAGGGGGGAATGGGGGCAGGGGTGGGAGCACTTCTTTTCACTGTATACCTTTTTATAGTATTTTGATTTATGGACCATGTATTGCCTATTCAAAAAAATAAAATTAAAAAAACATATAGTATATATTTTTTAAAGTCTAAAAAAACAGACACCAAACTGTTAAGTATTTCTCTTATGGGCTAGCATTCAACAAATTAGTTCATTTACAAAAATATTTATTGAGCACCTATGTTCCAGGTACTGTTCTAGCACTTAGGATGTATCAATAACTAAACTAGGACATTACTCAGAAATTATGGAACTTTTAAGTCTTTTGTAATTTTTCCCTGTTGTTTAAATATTTAACAGCAAGAACATTACTCCAACTCCTCCTAGCTCCTAATGTTGGGCAAGTCACTTGATCTCTTCATACCAGTCTCTTCATCTGGTACAGTGTAGATAATCCCACCCACCATGTAGAAGCATTGTAAGAATGTTGACACTATACTCATAAATAATCTAGCTCAGTATCTGATGTATAATCAGTTTTCAGTGTTACCCTTTATTATTTAAATATGATTTTCACACAGTGATTGTAAATGTTCTATGAGGGATAACGAATGTTTGCTCTAAAGATGACAAAAAAAGCTGAAGCTACTGGGCTTACCCTAAGTCTATGTTATCACTACTAGCAGGCAGGCCACAGCACTTCTCTGATGCTATTATTGCTCTCTTACTCTTTCTTCTCCCACCAGACAACAAACTGAGTGGAGAGAACATGTCTTGTTTATCTTAGTGTCATGAGAACCTAACACAGTACCAGACAATACATGCTCATTAAATATTTGTAAAATAAATACACAGGTCAATGTGGTCATGAAAAGTTTCATGAAAAAGATGATAAGCTGGAAATGATTACCACAAGACCCCAACACGCACAAGTAAAAGAACCATTCCGTTTTCTTACTTTTAGTTACCTGGCCTTGGTCCAAATCTGAAAGGACCTGAGAAATACCTGTTTTCTAAAGAAATAAGCCATTCAAGGCTGCCTTGATATAACCACCACTAGAGGGGCCCAAAAGGCTGAATATAGCCTTAGAGCTCCTAAAGCCAGATTATCAATCCTATCAACAGCAAGTACTTTAGAAATGCAATAATTTCAGGATGGAGAGAAGTGCAAAGAGCCTTCAAAATTTGGATCCCCCCAACAAATACCCCTGTAAGGTATTATCTCTGTAGCTTTTTAACCCCTAATATCCATTGAGCTGTATGTTTTACTTCTCCAAAAACAGGGATGGACAATGAATGAACATCTGAAGAATATTTACTTTCAAAGAAGTAACAAAATATCAATGTCTGTGTGGCAAACAGGCAGGCTTCAAGCAACCTTAAAGCTCCCATTCCCAAGCTGCTGCAGCTCCCATTACCAATCTGCACATTTCAGAAATCTACGTATCATTAATAATGATGTACCACAAGGCACCACATTATTCCTCTATTACTGGGAAGATGGAAGAAAAATGGAGAATAAAAATGCACAGGTTTGCATGGTATTCTTAAGTTTTAAAGTCACATGATATTTCTAGTCCACCTCTAAAAAACTCCAAAGAAAGAAGTGCCAAGCTGCTCATTTACCTCCAAAACAGCATATACCTTTCTATGCTAAGAAGACTGTAACTATCAGAGCTTCTCTAAAAATTAATCCGTTCCTACAGGATTTTATTTCTTTAACAAGTTCTAAGTAACAGAGGTGAAGATTTCATAGAACTCCACTTTCATATATTACACTAAAAAATAAAAACACACTCCAACTGGATTTCTCACCTTGAAACGTATTTGCTTTCTTAAAATAAAATTACAACAGCTGTAATCAGTATGTACGTTAAAAGTAGTCTTGTTTTATTTATTTGAAATATAACAAAGTTGGAAAAACATCAACACGAAATTTTAAAACGTTCTCAACGTCATCATTAATAAAAGTAAGCTAGGGGCTGTAGATCAGTGGTAAGAGGCAGGCCTAGCATGTATAAGGCTCTTGGTTCAATCCCAGAACCCCCGCCCCACCAAAAAAATAAGGTTTAAATGAAGAAAAAACAGGCTACTGGCATTTTTCAAGGACATGTTACCATACTTTGCAGGTACTTACACCCATTTAAATTGGTTCTGTAAGATTTTCTTCCAAAATAGTTTCTATCAATTTAAAAAATACTAAAACGAATATTGTATTAGTGTTTTTAGAATCTTCTACCATATTTTTTGGAAATCATTACTTAATAAATGGCAATTCAAATCCAAACAGCTTGTTAATGTTATCTATACCTACTTCTACTACTTCAATGTGAACCAAAAAAAAAAAAAAAAAAAAATTAGAAAGATTAGGATAAAAGAAAAAAGACAAAGTTACAAGAAACATTTTACCTACCATTACTCTGCAGTGTTAATCCTGAGAGATCTTAATTTTTTAAAAGAGAGGGAAGAAAAGAAGCATTAGTCATTACCATGAACATATCTTCCATTATATTTTAAATTACAGAATATAAATTTAAGCCAGATTATAAAACTTCTTGAACCATTTTACTTCAGTAGTGCCACTTCTAGCATATGTAAACTTAACTATTGAAATCTATAATGCTTTTCATCTTATTTTTCAAAAACAATGGTGCCAAGTGGGCAAAATATCAATTATATATACTTAGTTTTAACAGTCAAAATACAAGCTTGTTCCCAAGTTCAGATTTAAACCCTTATATTTAATTTAAAATGTCTGATTCTTTAACCTTATTTAAAGTCCTGGGTAACCCTCAAATATATTAAATTTAGAAAAGTTAAACTACTACTGGATCTTTTCCTTTTATATGTCTAAGGATAAACGCGAAGTCTACTTACCAATTCCAGGTGATACAACTCGTTCATAGTGATACGGATTCACACAGACACTATCACATTTTAAATCGAACGCATACTGACAATATTTAACGTGCTTCAGTTCATTTTTGTGAAGATCTGGCCACCTCCACAGTCGGGCATAGATCACATGAGGAAATCCTTTCCGACCAGCCACCTGGGAAACATAAATAACCATTTTTTAAGTGTGTGTCAGACACTATGCAGGGACTTTTATATATGTTCTCAATCCTGCAAGGTCAGTTTTTGTGATACTGTGAAATACACATTTAGTTTTGTCCTTACTTCCTGGCATATAACTCCTAAAATCTTGGAATCTGCAAAGTTACATGCTAATGAGTCAACTGATGATTGGCAGCCACTAGGAAGATTCAGGATAGGGGCATAGTCATAGAAAAAAACCAAGGCAGGATCACTCCCCAACCTCCAAGGAGGCAAACAAGGCTGTACACAGAGCTGACCACCACAGGACAATGATTTTATCAACTATGCCTACATAAGGAAGCCTTCGTAAGAATCCCAACAAGCAGGGCTGGGAAATCTCCAAGACAGCTAAACAAGTGGAGATTCCTGAAAGGTAGCATGTCTGGAAAGAGGCATGGAAGTTTAACTCGCCCTATATATCTCTTCATTTATAATCTTTGTAAAATCCTTCATAATAAACTGGTAAACATGTTTGAGTTCTGTGAACAGCAACAGGAGAACTAAGTTTATAGCTGTTGGTGTTTAAAAAGAGTGGGAAACAGACTTGGGGATCAAATCCTCAACCTGTGAGATCCAACACTATTTTCAGGCAGACAGTGTCAGAATTAAATTGAAGTTGAGGCCACCTACCTGGTGTCCCCTGCAAAATGCCTTGCTTGCTTATGGGTATGAAAAATTTTCACACTTTTGGGGTCACAGAAGTGATACGTGTTATAAATGTATACTAGGAAAAAACTGAGTTTGAGGGGCTTTGGCTCTCCATTCAAAAAACTATAATCTCTATTTTATAAACAAGAAAACTAAAGCTCAAAATAACTAATTTAGTCATCATCACAGAGCTAGAATTTAAACTTAGGTATAATTATAAGACTTGTATTCAGGTTCTTAAAATGCAAAGGCTATGAATTTGTTATAAAAACCATGCCTAAAATCCAGAAATAAAATTTTTAAATCTAACAACACAAGACTTCTGTAAGTTTCTTCAAGCAATAAAGTAAGGACCAGGGATGTACTTTGTGGTACAGCAGATCTAGAGCTTGCATGAGTCCCTGAGTTCAATCTCTAGTACTCAAAACAAAATAAACAACATAAGACAAAACCACTCACCTGAAGCCTTCCATCCAATGTTCTCTGTATGGTAACACATTTGCTAGGATGAGCTCCATTTGTAGTTATGGCTGTTATTAAAGAATCCAATTCATCTTTTTTCTCCTTCAGCTTCTTCACCAAACTTTCAATTGCTCTTTTTGCAAATGTTTCACTTTCTCCACCTTGTCTATGACACATCAAACTATGTACAATGCTCAGGCAGGCATCATTACTTGTTGGTGTATTCGTAATAGACATATTGTCCATTTGTTCAAGTATTTTCTTTTAAATCAAGTGTGTCTCCAATTTCCGGAGCAATTTTGATCTTTTTGGAGGCAGTGAAAAACAACAGCTAATGCTGGAAAGAAAATTGTTAGACATCTGGTATTCAAGATAACCTAAAGAAAAAGAAGAGAGAAATACACAAAATGAGAATATATTTCACAAAGAAGATTCATTTATTTTTGATAAGATAAAACTGAGTCAAGTGAAAGACTCAATGCACTTAGTTAAAAATGCTTAAAGAATTTAAAATGACTGAATTAAAATGGTTGTTTCTGACATCCCAAAGTCATTAAAGTTAGGCCTTCTCATTAGTAGAAAGGCACACTCAATCAAGTCTTACCAAGTAGAGTAGTCACCCTAAAGTACAATCTTAACCTTAGTTGTTTCTGTCTCATTGTTTCTGTTTTCTCTGCCATTGTTAGTTCTGAGCCTTCCTTTTATTTATTTACATCATATATCAGTCCCTTTACTTCCCTCTAATGTGATCTCTTAAATACCTGTATCCTCACCTCATGATAAGCCACACACAGAGAAGCAATTTTTCCTGTGTCTTTCAATTCTTATCACATGCTCACATCCAGTAACTACACACTGAAGTTACACGGTACAGATAATCAAAGGATTTAGTCAGAGATGGAGATTAGAATTCCAGCTTTTATAGTAAGCAGTCAGCTAAATAAAGTCAATTAAACCCTGAATCCAGAGTTAAAGAAGATATGTAGACCCCCAAATGAGAAAATATAAAGTGCATGGCACATAGTTTTCAGTGAAGTAAACACTAAAATATTTAAATTGTTTTAAAAGAAGACTGTCCTAAAACATGCATTTTTCTGCATTTTATCTTATTAATATTTATCTAAGAAAATGTAAGAAGGCAGTGACAGAAGTAAACCACTGATTCAGGACTCCTAAGTCTCAGGCATACAAAAGGCAAGTAATTATGTAAACAAACAAAATGTGCCAGGTGTTTTGAGAAATACAAATGTATGCCCTTCCAAAGACAGTAGTTACTGCTCACTTTCAGAAGTGGCACTTGAATATGCTAGTGCACTGCTAATACTTGCTCAACTTAAAAGCAGCAATAAAGAATTCTATGGACGTGTGATATATCACTTTTAAGTACTGGTGATTTATTTGTAGGGAAAAGGAAGAGGGAGAAAAAGCTAAAGTACCACAAAAAAGAAAAAAAAAAGAAGGAAAAACCATGTGCATGTCAAACAAAACTCAACTTCAATTCAAATCTGACCCCTTCCTCAAATTTAAAACACATCCCTCTTACAGTTTAGCACATCAGTTACTTCATTATTTGTTTCACAAATCTTGAAGTTAAAGAAAACAGTGAAAAAATCAAAACATTCAAAACAGAAACAATACAAAGTTAGAAATTCATGAAAAGAGCAACATCCTCATCACAGAAATTCCTAGCATCTTAGTTCCTGACATATACCAGAACAGTCATTTTTTTTTAAAGCAATACTGAGAATAGAACATAGGGCCCTGGGCATGTAGCAAATGCTCCACCACTGAGCTCCATCTCTAGCCCTGCAAATATTTTTGTTAAACTCATTTTCTGTTATATTCCAAAAGCTTTATACTAAGTTACAACATTTAGTGTTTGAGTATTTCACCCGAAATTCAACTGTCATCACCACTAAAATTTAGCTATGGGGGGGGGTGGTCCTCTTATTATCTCAAAGGTTGTTTAATCCCAGATTTCTTTGGACACAAAAATAACCTAGCTTTCTTGAACACAGCTTACTCATCGTTATAGTCCTATGAACACTGGTGCCTGAAACATAATTTAAAGCTCCTTATATAAAAATAATACCAACGGGATATACAGACATATCCCTACATTATATAGCTCTGGATTACAGAAATATGGTAGTCATAGGTATATGGTATACATAAAATTATATGTTCCTATTACAACTCCAGAAGCATGACTGGACATGTTAATATTTCTCTCAATTGTCTCATGTATAAAATGGGAACAGTATCTGCCCTGCCAACTTTATAGACTTAGTGTAGTAATCAAATGCAGCAGTGTACATAAAAGTATTCTGGGAACCACAAACTGACTAACTCAACAAACACTGTACCTATCATGTGCAAAATAACACAGACACAAAGAAAGTAGGCAGATAATCAGAAAATGGTACTCAACTTAACAGACCAACATCCCTTTTTATAATGAGTAACTTACAGCATCTCCTTAGCTACCTGAAACAAAATCCTAACTTACACATTTTTTAAAATCTAACAATACATAGGGAAGATCAAGGAGGAAAAGATTAATCTATCATAAAATGTGAATTTCAATATATAAATGACCAGGCATACCAAGTAACTTAGAATGCACAATAAAGAAGTCTGGGGAACGTGGTGCATGCCAGTAATCTCAGTACTTGGGAGGCTGAAGCAGGAGGATCACTGCAAGTTCAAGGCCAGCCTAAACTATATAATAAGACCGTGTCTCAATAAAACCAAGAAGCAAAGAAATCAGTCACAAGTTAAGGATATAGTTCTGTGATAAGAGTACATGCTTAGTATTGGTGTGGCACTAAGTTCAACCCCCCACCACCACCACCAAAAAAAAAAAAGATGTTTTACACTTTTATGTAGAATTATAAATACCATTATAAATACAACAACTACAAATTCAGATGTACAACTACAAGTGTGTTGCCTTGGAAGCTCCAACAGCATAATAGCATGTTAGAGACATGGATTTTCTCAAATGGTGAGCTCTTAAAGTTCCAAGCAAAACAATTTCAATTAAGAAAATGAATTAAGTAAAATTTAATTTCTAGAAAATTAAAGAAGGAAAGATGGAAGGAAGGAAGGAAGGAAGGAAGGAAGGAAGGAAGGAAGGAAGGAAGGAAGGAAGGAAGTGGGAGGGAGGAAGGGAGCAATTGGGTTCTAGGCTAATTATATATTTTCCTCCTTCATAAACTTCTGAGATATTTTAAAGTCTTGCGGGATGCAAGAAGATTCCACCATCTCTTGCAGAAAGGCATCCCTTGCCCCAACCCCAAAGCTCTTCTTAGAAATTTCTACAACAACCCCTAAAGTACAGTTCTTTCTCCATTAAGAATTATTGATCCAGGGGGCTGGGGATTTAGCTCAGCGGCACAGCGCCTGCCTGGCAAGCGCAACGTCGTGAGTTCGATTCCCAGTACCGGAAAAAAAAAACCAAAGAATTACTGATCCTGGTGGTGTGATAGTCACTGCAACTCTGGGAGCTAAGGACAGAGAATCACTTGAGTCCTGGAACTCAAGACCAGCCTGCAAGATCAGCAAGACCCTATCTTTAAAAAACAAAAGAAACAAAAAACTCATCTAGAAAATCCAAACATATTATCACACTAAGTAATAAATGTTAGGAGATGTAGGTATTAAAGCAATTTGGGATTATAAAGGAAGGTGCATCTGAAGTCCATAGGTAATGTAAGTCTTGGCACAATGTATCAGGATAGGGTCCAGTGATAGTGAACCTTTTAGAGCTTTGAATGATACAAACTGCCCACTGAAGCACTTATGCCATAGGTTTGCCATCACTGGGGTAGGCTAGGTTGCATTTACAACCAACCGTCAAACAATCCATAGCTTAAAAGGTTTATTTTCTGGTTAAGCTATTTGTTTATCACGAATTAACTGGTGGCACTCTTCACTAACAACTCTTAGGGACTGACTGGGCTGTCAGTGGCTTCATCTCTACATATGTTCTTAAATAGCAGGGGAAGGAATAGGACATATCAAATGCTGGCAATGTCTAGACGAGGTGGGAAACACAGCACTACTGGGCATCTGGAGTGTACAGGCCAATGCTACTGCTAAACATCCTGCAATAAACAGTATGGTCTCCCAAAACAAAAATTTTACCCAGCCCAAAATGTCAATAATGCAAAAGTTCAGTTATTCTGGTCCAGGCCTAATTTCAAGGGTTTGGGGAGGTTGAAGGAGACAAAGAAGTACAACTTCACCACATGGCAGAGAAGAGCCACTGAATAGTGGTAGAACAACTAATGACTGCCATATGTGAATAACAATTTGTCAAGCTGAAGGCAATCCACAGGGGTAGGGGGTGGGGGGAAATCAGAGGATTAAAAGTCAAGTATTTTGCTTACAGTAGGTTCATGTTAAAACATGAAATAATAGAAATAGCATTAGATTTGCAGTAGAAGATCCAATGAGCATATGAGAACTTTGGAAAAGATAAACAGAACAAGAGAAGAAAATGAAAAAATTGGTGAAGGCCTACATTAGGGACATAGGCAGTCAAAATAAAGGGGGAAATCAATGAGACACTTCTAGGTAGAACAGACTGAATTCTATAACCAACTAAACAAGGGGTAGAAACGGAGACAGTCAAAAGATGACCAATTTCCTAAACACAGGTTAACTGATGAAGAATAAAGGTTTTTAAAGGTAGTTATGTAACAAATTCAGTTTTAGTTAAGCTGAGATGGAGGAGCTTAGTAGAGAAATTAGACCTATTTGAAGGTTACCAACATAACACTGGTATTAAAGTCATGATAAAGGTTAATAGAAGGTCAAGTCAGCAAATGAGACATATCTTATATCTTGCTATTGTGTTTTTCCTCTAGCTTTGCTATTAATCATAAGCTGTCACTTCTTATAGACCATTGATGTAACAACAAATACATAGACTACAAAGCCAGACAGGCAAAGTCATTAAAATACTCTCTAAAATTAAACAGGATTAGTATGGTCTGAGAGGCTCTTGTGTAAATTCATGAATTTTAGTTAATGAACACTGACATTTATCAGATATTCACTTTTGAACTATTAAGCCTCTCCCCATCTGGACAGGTAAGACAACTCTCAGGCTAACCATCCAGAGCCAACCCCTAGTTACATAATTATCCAAGATGGAAAAGAACCCAAGCTAGGCCAATGATACAACCCCAGAAAATCTGACGTGGATTATAGGGGGAGGTCCTCTTTCTTATGAACCTAAAGCTGAGAGCAGCCTAAAAATTACCTAACAAAGTTAAACAGACTGCAAAGCTAAGCTAAGAAACAGTATTGATGATACTGGTTGAGAACTTGTATCCAGCATCTGAGGCCAGCCAATGAATTCCCCTTT